AATTGAACATATTTGAATGGATGTGTGCTTCAATTAACTATAAAAATGATTTAATAATGATTTTAATATTTAATGATTTGATAATGATTTTAATATTTAATGATTTGATGATTTAGTAATGATTTAATAATAATGATTTAATAATTATTACTAATAATTATGGAATAATAACAAATGAATGTATTAGTGTGGACTACTCGAATTTAAATTTATACATAGTCGAATTTATTAATGATTTTTAAATATTTAATTATTTGATACTAATGATTTACTAATTATTATTAATAATGATTTATTATTAATATTTAATTATTTGATACTAATGATTACTAGTAATGAAATTATATAATGATTTGATACTAAAAAATCATTGTTAAGGTTAAAAAAACTAGTCTAATTTCAATATATAATTTGTAACAAATAGCAAACGAGTTTACAATTGTTGTCGATGTTGGGGTGTTGTTGAATGATAATGTCGGGCCGGACGTCTAATACGTTGTGGCCGTTGCGGTTGCTCAGGAGTATGGTACCCATCCTCCTCATTCATTGGGGGCATTTGAACTACCATGTGTTCAAAGTCATACGTCGACGAAAACATGGGAGAGTAGATAGGTGCCTCAGGCTGCACAAACTCTGGTATGTATGTCGGGATAGTAGAATCATCAATTGCGTGATGCAACGATCCCGCATCGTCGAACGGTTGTGATGCGCTATTATCTACATCGGTCATTTCCTCTTCAGGTTGTTGAGATGAACTCCCACTCGGTAGAGAGTATTCAGCTTTACCAAATCTTTTCTTAAACCTGTTGTCAGGACGGCTTTCCATTATCCCAAAAATAAGCAAGGTAAGCCAAATTCTCAAAATTAAAGTCGTCGTCTTGAATGTTGTCAAGAGTTGGCATGAATGAAGCCCTATTGTTCCAAGCATTAATGTAGGTTGCATGCTTCTCAACCCAATTAACATTTTCTTTACGACGACCATCAAATCTGTGCAGGTCGTCGTGCGTCTCAACCCAATTCACCTGACGACGACCATCTAAGTTTTGGAGGAGGTCATGATCCCATGGACTCCGTGGAATAGGTTGGTGGAAGTGGAATTGCCTCAACACTCTATCCCCAAATTGGATCTCAACAAAAGCAAATTGATCATGGTGAAACAACACACCAATATTGAAACCCATCTAAAATATCGTGCAGTATCAACGCAAGTATTTCTTCATTCATGTATGGTCTCCAATTAAACTATAAAATTACAAAAACAATAAAATTTATTTAAATCAAATAATATAGTTAATTTAAATAATAATTAAAAATAACAGATTATACATACCTCCTTTTTGGCCTTAATATCGATCTTAAGCCTGAACTCTTTAATGTTGTTGTACACCAACCCCGTGCCTTCAATTTTATGCCTCCGTCTGTATATCAATCAAAACAAAAATATGGCCATTTTGTTCAATAATTTTAATCAAAATAAATATTTTATAATTAATATTTTATATTAAAATAGAGGATCCATATTACCTTCTGGCAAGTGGAAAGTTAACCGCAGTCCGACTAATCGGTGTCAAAAATAGAAGTCTATGTCAAGCCCATGATTGTAGCAGCAACAAACATCCACCGATTTCTGCTGTATTATTATCATTCACGACTAATGATGCCTTACACATCTCACGATACAAGAACGTCAATATCGTCGATCCCCAACTATATTGCCTACTATGCTCAAAATTTCTTAAAAAAAAGAAGATACTGAGTGTGAACATAACTACCAGATTTATCATGCATCAAAATTCCCCCAATCATTTGTAATATATATGCTCGTGTTGCATATATAATTTCGTGCTCCGTACTATTTGGTTGAAGCTGAAATTCATTCTTCGACCATGACAACCTCACACGCCACCCTCTACACTCTGGTGGTACGGGCGCTTTCCCAAGAAACAAGCTGCAAAGTTGTGCCACATTATTAAACTCATATGACATTACCACCGGCATCCCATTTTTTTAGACCCCGACTTGCATTGCCACATCCTCCAAAGTTATCATACATTCGCCACACGGCAAATGAAACGTTTGCGTTTCTAGTCTCCAACGTTCAATCAACGCACTGATCAAACCTTGGACCAACTTGTAATCTCGCACAAATGTTACATACTAAAATCCAGCCTCTTGCAAGTTTTCTTCTATCAATGGGTGTGGCTTGGGCACTTTATGTAGCCAAAGACGAAGGACTCGCTGCTCGTCCTCCTGCAATTAAATATTTCAAAAAATTTATCACAATCATAAAATAATATTTAAATATGTATTAATTATAATTCATTAAACAAATATTTTATTCACCAATATTCCCAAATGACTTGAAATATGTTCATTGTCAAGTCTCAACAGTAGAATTTGGTCAGCCATTGGAATGAATCTGTAAAAAAAAATTAAACAACAATATTTAAAAAATCATTTAATATAATCTAATATAAACTAACTAACTAATTTACAACACAACAAAAAAATTTAATATAATAACTATAATATATTAAATAAACTAACAACTAAACTTTTTAAAATATAAGTTAAACGTAAATTTTCCCTTAAACAACTAATAAATTATTCTTTAATATAACTTTAACTAATAAACTATTCTTTAATATAACTTAAACTAATAAACGATTTTTAATTATAATTTACTACTAAAAAACTAATTAACTAAATTTTTTATAATATAAATTCAAAAACAAATATAACTTAACTATTTAACTAACACAAACTAATTACATATTTTTATATAACTAACGACTAACAAACTAACTAATTATTTTATTAATATGTAACTATCAAACATACTAATTAAATAATTTTATTTCTATATGATATAACTTAAACTAACAATAATATAATTTAAACTAACAAACTCATTATATTTTTTGTTTACCCTAATTTATAATAATAAACTAATTAACTAATAATTTATAACAATAAACTAATTTAAATAATTATTCTTTTTTTGTACATAAAAGTTTAGGTCAGGGGTGGCTCCCCCAGTCCAGGGTCAGGGCATACCTAAGACCCAATTGAGATTTACATAGGACTTTACAGATTACCCACCAAGAGTGACGGTGGTGGGATTTGAACTTGGCCTTACAAGCTCAAATTCCTGAATCTCAACCACTTGTGCCAACACTTATTGGCATTTAAATAATTATTTTTTTATATAACTTAAACTAATAAACTATTTTTTTATTATAATAAAACTTAAACTACTAATAAACTAATTAACTATTTTTATAAATAAATTCAACAACCAAAAAATATATAACTTAACTAGTTAACTAACTACAAACTAATTAAATATTAGACTAACTAACACACTAATTAATTATTTTTTAATATATAACCTTCAAACAAACTAATTAAATAATTTTATATTTATGTATGATATAACTTAAACTAACAATAATAAAACTTAAACTAACAAACTAATTAACTAAAATTTTGTTTTACCTTAAACTAACAAACTAATTAACTAAAATTTTGTTTTACCTTAAGCTAACTAACTAATTAACTAAAATTTTGTTTTACCTTAAACCATAAACTAACAAACTAATAATTTAAAATAATAAACTAATTTAAATTATTAAAAAACTTACCTCGATGTTGCTATCCCTTCTTCTCCTCTTTTCCCTTGCTCTCTTCTCCCTTTCTTTCTTTTATGCTTCACTCATTAACCCCATCCAATATATAATACAACCACCCATCTCATCTGCTTCAATTATTCACCCTCAAATTGTCATTCACGTGAGCTGAAGGACTGCAATAATGCAACAATAAGGGTTGAAATAATGCAGCAATAAGGGCTGCAATAATGCAACAATAAGTGTTGCAATAATGCAGTTGAATTCACGCTGCATGGGAGCAGAGGTGCAGCGAGAGCAGACCATAAGCATGCATGGCGACCTATCCCATGCCACGTGCATGGCCCATGCAAAGCACCAAAGCAGAGCAGCAGCTGCAACAAGAATCACGAGCAACGTTGGTCGCCGGGCGTGCATGGCGACCTACAAGGTCGCCCGGAGGGCATGGTGACCTATGTGTTGGGGACGTGCATGGCACATGCAGACGTTAAAACGTCCATTATCTATGTGCAGCTCACCGGGAAGCCATGGCGATGTAGTAGGTCGCCCGGAAGGCATGGCGACCTACGGCCAACACTGTGGATTTCACCTTATTTCAGCAAATAATATGGGAAGTGTATTATCTCGTGAATTATTTATTTTGAAAGCATTATATCGTGAGTTTTGCCCGTTCAATTCAAATAAAAGGGAAAGAAAAAAGAAATAAAAGCTACCCCTACTTTATATCCATTTCATGTGTTGTTGAAATCTCACTCAATTCAAAGTAAAGAAGATTTTGTCAAAGTTCGATTTGGGTTTGGAAAAGAAGATTCCACATTTTGAAAATCCATGAAATTTGACACAGACAAGATGGAGCGGTAAGCATCATGAAAGTAAAAAAAAAACATGTTTTGAGAACAATTTCTTCTTTGTTTCCAGAACTAAGAAGATAGGGTGTCTTATTAGGAGCTTAAAAGCAACGTAATTCGAAAGAATATTTTTTAAAATGATTGCAAGGTAGATATATTTGTTAGAACTCGAAAAACTCTGTTAATAGAGGTTTTAATTTGAAAATTAACACTTTGAAAAAAGAAGTAAAGACCATGGATCTGAATGCGTAGATTACCCGTCACCTACTTTATATTTCAAAACACTGCCTAGAGATTGTGAAGCCCTTTTCCTGTCTGCTTAAAAACATGACAACTTGGGGAAAAAAACAAAAAGGGTAAAACTAGGGACTTCTTTAAATAGGTTTAGCAAAGCTTCTGTATTCATTATCAGCTTTATTACTCCATACAGTGTAAGCACAAAGCTTTGTACTTTTTATCTCTCATACACAATAAGAAAAGAAAACCCATTTTTTCTGTATTCTTTGTTGTTTTACTTCCATTTTGCCTCTTTGAAGCAGACATGGTTGCAGCCTAATGGATGGAGCTTTCACCCACCGTGACCAAGTAGACTCTGCCTTGCTCAAGCTCTGTTTACCTGTGCCAAAGCTAGAAGCTAGAAGCTTTTCCGTTTCAAAATCTGTTAAAAGCTTGTGCTACAAAGCTATAGAGCCACATGGATGTTGCTTAAACGGATTAGATTCTCTTGGTTTTGAAGAAAAGAAAGGTGAAATGGGGAGTTCGGTTGAGAAAAATGAAAGCTTTGGTGATAATGGGGTCCAAAAGGGTCGTGAAAGTAGTTCAAGCTCCGATCTTTTGACACCAGAAACAACCGTGCACGAGGAAGAAGAACACAGTCACAGTAGTTCCGAGGAAGAAGATTTATATTCACCGCCTTCAATAGATTGGCATGTGCATGAAATTTCCGAAACAGAGGGCAGCACTTGTAGTGATTTTAGTGAAGATAGAAAGAAACCCCCCATGAATGACAGGATGTTGGAGAAACAAAGTTCCACAATTTCAGGTACTTTGACCATCATTTTTCCCTTTGTTTGATTCATTTCACTGATGTGTTTGGTAATGGGTTGCAGAGATTGAGTTGATGAAGGAAAGATTTGCAAAATTGCTGCTTGGTGAAGATATGTCAGGTTCAGGAAATGGTGTTAGCACTGCCTTGGCTATTTCAAATGCCATCACCAATCTTTCTAGTATGTTGACAATTTCGCTTGTTTTGACCTTTAATATAGTTTATATGAGTTTGATTTGTCCATATTGGTTAATTGTTTCTGGTTTTTGTTGGTTAGTTGTTTTAACATTTGTTTTAATGGCTATTTCTCACTCACTGCCTTAACTATTCAGCCACCTTATTTGGGCAAATATGGAGGTTAGAACCAGTAACTCATGAGAAGAAAGCAATGTGGCGAAGAGAGATGGAATGGTTTCTCTCCGTTAGTGATCACATTGTGGAGTTGATACCGACTTGGCAGACGTTCCCAGGCGGAAGCAAGCGAGAGGTGAAGCTATGGTTTGAAAATGATGACCTAAGGGCAGTTTTGAAGGATTTGTAGTTTAAAATGCCATGCCACTTGCTATGGTTTCAGGTCATGACTTGCAGGCCCCGATTGGATCTTTACGTTAACCTCCCGGCTTTGCGAAAATTGGATAACATGCTTCTTGTAAGATTCACCGGCTTGTATTGCAATATGGAAATATGATTCTGTTGAAGAGCTTATTTTTAATGTAACATGTGTTTTTTTGCAGGAGACATTAGATAGTTTTGTTGATGCAGAGTTCTGGTATGTTGACCAAGGGATTCTAGCTCAGCAGGCTGATTCAACCCCTTTCCGAAAAGCCCTTCAGCGTCAAGAGGAGAAATGGTGGCTTCCCGTGCCTCGAGTGCCTCCGGGAGGCCTCAATGAAAATTCGAGGAAGGAGTTGCAGCATAAACGTGACTGTGCAAATCAGATCCTAAAAGCTGCCATGGCTATCAACAACATTACTCTAGCTGACATGGAAGTCCCTGAATCATATTTCGAATCTCTTCCTAAGGTAAAAGACTGTAGATAAAGATTAGGAGTATAATGTACATATTCTACCAAATGTGTTGGTTATTAACTTCAGCTAGAATTTGTTTTCAGAATGGCCGAGCGAGCTTAGGAGATCTTATTTATCGCTATATTTCATCGGATCTGTTTACACCTGAATGTCTTCTTGATTGCCTTGATTTGTCCTCTGATCATCAATCTACAGAAATTGCCAACCGAGTGGAGGCCTCGGTATATCTGTGGCGCAGAAAAACCAATCCCAAACCTGTCAACACAGCTCGCTTTAGTTCAAAGTCGTCATGGGACATGGTCAAGGATCTGATGGTTGATGCTGAAAAGAGAGAAATACTTGCAGATCGAGGTGAGAGTCTACTGCTTTGCTTGAAGCAGCGGTTCCCGGGTCTTCCCCAGACCACTTTAGATATGAGCAAGATTCAGTACAACAAGGTTTGTGTCACTAGTTCCCCTTTCAGATTTATTCTTAAGAATGGTTTCGATTACAGAAGTCATGCCAATAACCGAATATTGTGGTGTTATTTAGGATATAGGAAAATCCATTCTGGAAAGCTACTCAAGAGTATTGGAGAGCCTGGCATTTAACATTGTGGCGCGTATTGATGAGACGAGGAATACAGTAATCCAAACGAAGAAACCGAATCAGGTTCAAGCATCACTCGAGAAACAAAAGGATCGTTTGAATGTCCAAACGACGCAACAAGCTCACTGAAAAAGGAGTCATCCCCTGAGAAAGAGCCCTGGGTTTGCACACCATGAACCATTCCCCGAGACAGCAGTCTTCCACCTGGTTCTATTATTACTGTTTCCAAATATTTGCTAGAAATAGGAAGATGCTTGAGAACGACGAACAGTCGCCCTGTTATTTAAATGTATCATCCATGCATGTCTATAAACAACGAGTTGTCTGGTTCATGCTTCTCAGTACATTATCTGTTGTCTCGAAATTGTTCCTGGTATAACATTATGCTGATACCATGCAGAGAAAAGCCAATAGGATATCGACAAATGATTCCGAAGATACTTTTAAAATGAATGTTTCGACAATCATGAAGACAACTGCGGATATACGTAACATCAAAATCTTAATCAACTTTCACAAAACTGAGTGGTTGCAGTCTTTCATTAGCTACCATTTAAAGGCATTTGAGGTTTGTCCCCACCAACAGATAGACAAGGACTGCTTGAATCTGCAGGTCCCATTGTTTGATAGGGAACAACCATAACCTTGGCCTAAATATCTATAGGCCCAGATAAGAAAATAGAAAGAACACAAATGAAAGATAAGTATGGCAGCTGGGACCACACACAATCCATGTTTTGTTTTATCAGTTCATGAGTATAATAGTTTAAAGGCAAAATGTCCACTCAGATTCATCTTTTATTAAAGTGTAACAATTAAGTCCAAAGTTCCTCAATTTGGGTTTATTTTATGCTTTTTGGATTGTTAATTAAGGGAAAAAAGAAAACACGAACATGGACACCATATGTTCAAAGCACAAAGCTGTAAATTCATCATACTAAATCAAGGTCACTTACACAGTCTCCACTGAAATTAAAAAAAAAGTAAATGAGAAAATAAAAAGATTAACTCTCCTCATTCTTCACGGTGAAGATGGGAGCTGAACTACTACACTTGCGCGGCAGGAGTAAGTAAATAACAACTGGCTGTCTGCAATGCTTGATTACTGTGGTCTACTTCCATATATCGCTAGAAACGGATTAAACGGCTGCCTTTGTCTTCCTATGTACCTGCCAAGGGTAAAGATGCAACTTTATAAGATAAAAACAATGAAAAAAAATGAGGCGTGTTTCGGGTGAGATATTGATCGATCAATAGAACATAACGGAACATTAACGTAAATACACAAGACCGTCATATAAGCATGTTGATCGGATGTTCTAAATACGACAAGACCGTTATATAAGCACATTGATCAGCTGTTCTAAATAAGACAAGACCATTATATAAGCATGTTGATTAGCTGTGAATCTGACTTAAGATACCTTGATAAGTATGTTGATTGACATGAAAACACTCAGTAATAGAGAGATCCTGCACAAATAAGGAAGAAAAAAAATCAACCTTCCAGCTAAAAATGTTATATATGCTATAATTCCTCATAATATACACCATAATACCTTGCCACCAGTCTCCTCTGGTTGCATACTCCCTATCATCTTCTCCATCATCCTTGAACTAGAATGTTACAAAAAACATGTTAGTAGATTTCGAATCAAAAGATTTAACATTTAAACTATCCGAAATCTGTATGCAAAAAGAATGCTCCAGATGTTCATCCAGTCACTGGATAAGTTCATGCCCATAGGGCAATCTGATGTACTCACAAAAGAGTCTATTCCAGAGCCACGGTATGCCTTAGGGATAGGGCATTCGTCTTGGCCTCCGTAGAAGATCGACGAACTTAGACCACATGGATTCACGCATTGCTGCGGATAAATAGAATCTGCTTCTTCGTCTGCCGCACTCTGGAATTCACCCTCATTTCCTTTAGAAGGATTAGCTGACAAGTCAAGTCGATTAATTTCGAAAGAGCGAGCAAAAGTCATATAGTTTTACACAAAATCTCTAATGTACTCAGAACACTGGCCTTGTTTTGCTCTAATGTACAAAGCAAATAGTGTTAAACCAAATACCAGTCTTTAGCAAAATCCTGTATTAAGTTGTATAAAATGTAGATATCCTGTAAAAGCATAAAGTGAGGCACAAACCAGAGTCTCCAGGCTTTGTTTTCAGGGGCTTATTCGGGGAATCCTGCCTTTTGGTCACCAGATACTGTCCTCTAGGCACCTAAACCAACAGCAGACATGGTTAAACAATCGAGACAAAAAGAAAGAGGCACAAACAGACAATTGGACTTAGAAAGAGAACTTGCATGCCATGCAGATGCTAGCATATGAGACGACACAAGCAAAAACAATACAAAAAAGAACCAATAGCAACAAACAATGCCCTCAACAAAATTTCCCATTCATAAAAAGGAAAAATCTTTAAAAGCAACACCTTTTGACACTATATCAAAAACCAGATTTGAAAGAAGAAAAGTTTTGATCTTTGAAACTCCATGGGACATAAACCAAAAACCCAATTAGCAAAACCATTGAATACCAAAGAAAAAAGGTACCTTGGGTGGAGGAGGAAATATAGACTCTAAAATGTTTGAAGTAGAAGAAGGTGACACTTTTGGGGCAAAGAGTTCAGCAAAGGGAGAAACAGAAGAAGAGGACTTGGTTCCTTCGCCTAGTTCCATTTCTCTGAGTAAAATTAAACTACTCTTACAAAGTTAGAATGAACTCTAATTAGAGTGAGATCTCTACATATAGACAGAGATGTGTGCTTGAAACAAAGCACCTCAAGGAAAGAAATGAATAACTAGAAACAGAGACACGTGAAGATTGCGTTTTCTTAGTAGGGTTTTGTTTGAAGAGAAAATGAAACCGTCCGTCCCTCTCTTTACCCAGATTTTATTTGATTTAAAACATTTTCTATGGGTTGGATTTAATAAAAGAACATATATGAAAACCAAATAAATTGAAATAAATTTTCTGCGCTGGAATTAAAAAGGAAATAAAGATTCCCCATGTGGACCAACAATTTTTTTTTAGATAAGTAAAATATTTATTCATCCAAAAGACGGCAGACTAACTACTACAAACATAATCCGTCAAGAAATTACACCAAACCTAATCTATACACAACTGCATATTTATTGTATCAAGTCTATTTATATGGCACCTATACATTTTAATACTAACCGCTTCTTTAATTCTACTTACAATGGTTTCGATTGAACGAGTTGTACCTCTGAAGAGCATGTGGTTGCGCTCCTCCCAGATGAAGTAAATGAAACCAGACCAGGCCAGTTTAAGGATCTGGACCAGAAGAGACTTCCCTTTAAGGTTCAGCAGCAACCAGCAAATGAGATCGTTCTAGCATAAAGGCTCCTGGCTAAGACCACAAGCGTGCAAGATAGCATGCCAAACTCCCACAGCAAAAGCACAATTAGAAAAAATGTGATCACGAGACTCAAAACCAGATCTGCACAATCCACAGCCACTACCTTGCGAGCCTGTCCTTAGTTGGCAATCTGTCAAGCATTACTATTCAAGAGATTAGTGAAAATTTTGGAATATGGCCAGGAAACCATACAAGTTGATGCCAGCTAACCTTCTCCCCCTTGCAGCGAATATTATCCCAAATCCATCTAGCATTAATTTGAGTCCAGCTCCTTATAGAGCAGAAAATTCACTAGCTTCACTCCTTTTAGATCGTTGGACCAACAATTGTTTACCTTGAAATCGTATGTTTCCGTTTCTGTTTTCTGCATTGTGCTAACGGGCTGAACAGATTTCTGCTACGTGCGAGTCATTAGTGTTTGAGTGGGCTCAGGATCCAAATTCCAATCTTTTACTGCCACGACTTCCCCTCCCCCTGTGGACCACAATTCATGGTTAATCAAAATAATCGCAAGCCATGACGATATAATATTGTAATACGAGACGCCATGAACTCGTTAGGCACGCATTGCGGGTTCCATCCTATCAGCACGGGGACCCGGGGGGTTCAAAGATCTATATGGAGTCATGGATGCCGATGTCCTTTGAGGTAGATTCTCGGATCTACCTTTGTGAGATCAACAAGAAATAAGATCGATAAAATATTACAATTGACCTAAAATCAAATGTAGTCGAAATATTGTATTAAATTACGGTTACAATTTCTGTTGCGTAAATAACATCATACTATATAATTCATAAATAACTATCGTTACTCAAAACCCATTATATTTCTAAATTAGGGGTGTAATTATGATGTCATGATATCGTTAAAAACCATTACAACGATAAATTCAATGTCTTTTTAAAGGTTGAGTAGCACCATACAGAAACAAAGAGAAACGTGAGATAAAGTCGGGATAGGTTAGAGAAAACAGATGGACAGAGTCCTAGGTCATATTCTCCATCAATTGAGGAAACAAGATCTGTTCTGCTGTCGTCAATCAAAGGCTACCGAAAACCAAACCGGAATAGTTTGTGCAAAGCAAAGGAGAGGGAAACGATGACCAAAGCATAAGGAAGAACAAGAGATGAAGAAGAGCATTAAAATGCAAAGAGAAAAGATGACCGGCAGAGTAGTCATCCATAGAAAAAGGAAGCAACAAAGCCGTCAAATTTGTTGGAATAATATGGTGAAAAAAATGTCCATATAACGTGCACCATTCTAATACGACGCTACCTGTATACGCCACTAATACGGTAAGACTCTAGTTCACTATTCTGATACAATTATTTTAGATGGTAAGTTTCATTGGTTTTTTAAGTATTAATTTCATATAATCATTTCGTGGATGTAAATAATTGTAATTGTTATATCTACTTGAATCATTCAATTTTCCCCCTAAAAACTTTACGTCATTATAACTTTTCAATATCTCTTAATATATCATTAATTATTTCTTACCTTTATGATCAATCTGGTATAACTTTTGAAAAGCGACATGTATAAACAATTTTTTAAAAATATTGTACAAAAGTGTAGTTTAAAATTTAATTGTTTGAGATTACTATTAAAAAGTGAGTTTGAAAAGATAAAATGTCCATTATCGACATTATGTTGTAAATTAAAAATATAGCGTTTAAATTAATTTACACTTATATATAAATCATATCAATTTAAAATATAACAAAAAAATAAATAAAAAAATTATAATCATAATAAAAATATATTTTATTTAACTCACTATTAATATTTTAATATATAAATCATAAATTTTATTTATTTTCAAATAAATTAAAATAAATTATTAAAAGTAATAAGTTATTTTAAGGGTGTAAGTATTAAATTATTAAAATAAAATGTAAATACATAATTTGGTGGAGTCCATGCATTAGCAAGGGTAAAATTATAGTTTGATTCCAAACACAAAGTTGAAAATGAAAAAGCTATAAATCCTAGTTTTTTGTTGGTTTGAAACCATCGTTTGTACTGCAATTTTCCCTATTTTTACCTATTTGGCATTGATTTTGCAGTCAAAACGGGCTTTTAAGCTAAAAGTGATTTTAGAAAACTTTATCAAACGCACTCTTAGGGTCAGTTTGGCGCTGTTTTTGAAAAGTGATATTTTAAAAGTATTGTAGAAATGAACTTTTAAAAATATAGTACAAAGTATAGTTTAAAATTTAATTGATTGGAATTGTGGTTAAA